ACCTCAGCAAGATGGAGATTTCTTCCCAAGGTTTGAATGAAGAAAGTTCATTGCAAGGACTCCTGCAGACCAAAAAAATAAATGGAAAGGTATCTGATTGAAAGACAGCAGGGAAGCCATTCTTACCTTGGTTCAAACAGATGAAAGAGCAAGTGACAGATCTAGTGAGGGTTGTAATCACAATCAGAAGACACATCGGTGAGGGGCCTTAGCTGCCACCAAACCCTGCAGTGTGAGGAGAGAGAGGAAAACATCAGCCCATTGTCTCCTTCCCACCTGTGGGTGGTTTTTAGTTTTCCTTTTTTTCCATTGGTGAAACCCGAGAGAAGTGAGAGGGGAAGGAAGTATGGATATCAGGGGAGGTGTTCTGAGGGGTGTACAGAATGTCACTAACTGGCCCATCGTAACAGAACACTACTCCCGAATGCCACCTAACTGGCCCAGATTATTAAAAATTTAGGTTTGGAGGAAATGCAAACTAGATGTAGTAAACTACTGGGCAAATCTAGTCTTTAAAGAGCAGTTTTATAGTTTCAGAATGAATTACTAACCTGTTGATGTTCTAGTTCATAGAAGCCCTATGTCCTTGAGTTGTTGAGCCTCTTAGTATGTTGAGAAAGATGTCATCCTTTAACAATATGGAGGTCTCCAAAGAAGGGGGCCCAGCAATTGCCCCAACTGGCATTTTCAGAGTTAAAATGGCCATCACAGCCTGTATGCTATTATTGCCCTAATGGGTTTTTTTTTCTGTTAGAGCTAAATGTAATTATTAAATAATCATTTCCAGTTGTCCATTGATTATTTGTGTATGAAATATTTAATGAAAATAAACCCAAATACTTCAGTCATGGAAAGACCCATTCCTGGGAAAAATATTTGCGTTTTCTCTCTTACCCTAGTTTCAGGTTATTTTTATGTGGTTCTGGTCCAGGGATCATTGCAGATCTTGTGGTGGAAGGCTCAGAGAAGCAGAAGCAGCTATCACGGCAGCTTGAGGAAAAGGACCCAGAGGTCTCTTCTTTAGCCTTGGGTTCAGTGAATGATAAATGGCAATGCAACCCAGGAAAAGTAATACATACTGGATTTTCCTTTTCTTGGTAAATGATCTCTGAGAAATCGTAATATCAGCTCTCTTAAGTACTGGTGAGTCTGCTTTTACTGTGACATGTTCGTTCTAAATAACCCTTCCCATATTGGTGTTAGATTCTTAGGCAAAGCTACCTTTATTTAAAGTTCCTGAAAACAAAAACTGTGCCTGATAAAATACTATTCATGTCAGACATTTATGTAGACTCTTATTAGGTCAAACTGTGCTGTTGTTCCCTAGCCCAGAAAGGTGTCTGGCCTATCTTCATCTTCAGCCATGGGCCTGCAGGAAAATACTGAGTTAAAAGGTTAAAAACGGGTCATAAGCTAATGAGCGATTTACTCTATTGGTCAGCCAGCCCAAGCAGAGTTCAAGGTTCTTTGACTCTCATTGCTTAAATGAATTTAGCTGAACTTTTAAGCAAAGCCAAAAATAAATTTGTCTAGCATGCTTTACAAAAGGACTGTCGCTGCTTTCCAAGTCACTAGAATCGATAAGCAGCGACAGTATCTTACTCTAAGCAAAAGCTGTGACCTTTGCTGTCTTGATTTGACTGTGTGAGATGCCAGAGCAGGCAGTGTTGATGCCACATGATGCCAGCTGCCTGTGACCCAGGCTAAGAGTGAACCCCATGACTTCAGGTGTTCTCTCTGATACACAGAAGCTCTCTGACCTTTGCAGTGCTTTGTGCTTGATTTCAAGATGGGTTCCTACGTCAAGCACAGCTTGACTTCTGTGGCCTCCCGCATCCCTCAAGGTCAGTTGGTTGCCATGCTTGTCTTCCTTAGGTCTCTAGAGAATATCTACCTCCCCTGTCTTTGTTAGTGTCACAGCACAGCCCTTCCCCTGGCCCAAGCTATAGTGCGAGTCTCTAGCCAGCTTGCCTGCTCGCAGGGTGCCCTCGCTTCTGCCACCAATAGGCTTCCTAGACCATCATCCTACGTCCTGAGTCTCTTCCTAAACACTCTCAGCCAGGTTACAGTTACACTTGGTGGAGTCAGTTCCTCTGCTGGTTTCTGCCTGTGGTCCCAGACGCTCTGCCCATGTCTTCCCAATGCCACAGCGTTCCAGCACACACGTGGTACCATGCGGCAGCAGAGTAATAACCCTGCATTTGTCTACAATGTGTGCTACCGTGGTGTCTTTCTTGGTGGAACATAACGTGTTGCATACACCAAGGGTCTGATACAGAGCCAGGTGTTAGGTAGATCTCCAGGTTGGAGTAATGAGAAACTTTTATAACCTGCAAATTCTAAAACAAAAACAAAAAAAACCCCAAACCCACAATAGTTTAAAAAAATATTAGAGGCCTCATCAGGCAACCTGGGGAGGACAAGGCACATGGCTTTCCAAGCTGTACACCCTACAGAGCTATACGGACTATGCTATATAGTAGAGATTGCTGACCAGAAACCTGATTGGCACAGTGCTGATTTACTAACAAGTACAAAGTCCATCATCCAGGAAATCACCAGCTAATCGAGGGCACACCACAGAGCCAGTAAGGAGACCCAGGTACCTTCCTGCAGCTCCTCCCACACACTCTTGCCCATAACATGTGCAAACAGAAATTTTTGTTTCTGGAACAATCAAAGGTCTTATCTTTAGAATGCATAACTCAGAGCTGTGATTAGGCTCCATGCAGTGATGCTGAGAGCCAGTGGGGCTGCATGGACTGGTGTTATGTGTCTGAGCTTAGTCCGTCTCTCATGTTGTGGTCTGTACAGTTGTCTATATTATGAGTACAGTTTTATGAGTTGTGGTTTGGTTAAGTTCCAGGTCTCCTTCACATGCTGGTTATAAGCCAACTGCCTTTACAATAAAAGTAGAAGAAATACCAACACAGTATCTTTGTCCAGGGAACCCCCACTTTAGGCTATGATAATTTGGTATGTGTTGTAAGAGAGTTAAGAACAAGGCATACCCGAATTCAGAAGAAGAAACCCCCCTTTAATATGTCTTATTTTTTACATGCTGTTATTTTTTGAGAAACAGTCACATTTGGCTCAGGCTGGCTTTGAGTTTTCTGTGTAGCTGAGGCTGGCCTTGAGCTCTTGATCCCTCCTGCTCTCCATTGTCTAAGTACCAGGATTACAGGTGTGTGCTACCATATCTGACTAAGCATGCTATTTTGTTGAAATTCTATAATATGCAAGGCTCTATGTACATTACACAGTAAGCAAATTACATATATTATTTTCTTTAATTCCAACAGTAGGAGGTGGGTGATATTTTTCTTATTCTTATTTTAAAGTGAAGAAACTGAGATGCAGAAAGGTTGAATAAGCATCCCTGGCCGCCCACCCACGCCTCTGGGGCCCGGACTTTATTACACAGACGTTTACAGGGCTCACTCGTGGTGCTTTCTGTAATCTGAAAAATAAACCTTGGACATAGCCATTACCAGGGGGGGAGCTGAAACTTTGCACTGTCCAGAAGCTGACCTGGGATCGCTAAGCTGGACACAGAGCAGAGTAGGATCTGGAGTCAGCCAATGAGGCTGCCAGTGGCTTCACAGCTTCTCATTACCCTGTCCTGTGGTGTCTGGACTCCCACACCTGTGTTCTTAGCCACTGAGGCTAAGCACAGCTCAGTGCCGGGGAAGATGCTTCACAGAAGCATTGAAGTGTGAGCTGGGGTTTGACAGATAAATGGGACTATTTCTGTATGGATCGTGAAAACCAGGCTCTGATAGTCTATCAGGAACAGGGGCCTTGAGGAGCACTGGGAACCAGAGTGGTGCTTCTGGGCCCGGGAACAATGGGGTTCTGAATGCAGAAGATGGAGAAACAGTAGGTGGCAACCAAGAGATAGAGCCAGGAGTGAGGACCACACTGGGACTTCATTCTGCGTGTGTCACCAAAGGCTGCACTTCTCAGTGATCATTCGGGAAAGGGACTAGCAAGGATATTTGTGCTGAAGGCGGCTCCGAGTTCTGGGCATGTATGAAACAAAAGAAGCTGTAGGAAAGTGACGCTGCTTAGGGATGGGCCTAACGCAATTGCTTTGAAGAGCACAGCACTTACTCTAATGTCTGCGTTCCTGCAAGCTAAAGATAAAAGATGCCACCACTTTCAATCAGTCCCGGGTCTAAAAGAACCTCTTTTGTTTCTGGCATTCTGGGGGGTGACATGCATTTAATGTGCACATCAATCTTGTAGGGTAGGCACTATTCATGTCCTAATTCTTTAAACGATTAAATAGGCTCAGAGCACTCAGGGATTTGAGTAATTTACACAAATTGGCCAGTGGTAGAGCCAAGGCTTCCAACCAGTTTAATTGTAGCATTTGTTGAAGTTAGTGTCTTCTGGCTTAGGAGATGCAAAGGCCTCACACACATAGCCATCTTGTGTCCTAGAGAGCAGGGGTGGCAATTGGACTAGGAGAAGAGGTGTTTCCAAAGTTGGCTTGTCCCGTCCCAGTTCTGGGTGAGAATGACTTCTCTCTGCATGCTTCCCATCATGGAATTGCCTGCCTTGAAATAGCCATTTCAGCAAAGAGTGCTACTCCTTAGATATCAAATCATGCTCCCAAAGCTCAGACTTAAATCCTGGTCCCTGCTGGATGACGGAGCTTTTCTTAGGCTTCTTTAGCCAATTAGCAGTTAACTGTGTGCTGTCCTTCCTGTCGATAACCAGTGGTTCACAAAATTAACTAAGAACGGGTGCCCTCAATTAGGACGTGTAGAAAGGTCTTCTCCGACTGGGAGATAGTGATACTATTTGTTAATTTCAGGATGTGGCATTCTAAATATTGCAGCATAAGAGAAAATGTGGAGGTGATGCACATGGATTGTGTATTCTTGAAACGAAGGGACACTTTGGTGTAGAGTTTTCCCCCTTGTAGGCTGCGCTTATAGATTGTCTTAGATCATTAACCTAAAAGTGAATTTTCCCTCTCCCTTGTTGTCCAGGTAGAGTGGCCTGTAAGAGCCTGAGCCAAAGAGTAAAACCGCCCTGAGTCATCCTTGGTAAGTGACTTAAACTTTCTGCATCTGATGTCATTCACTTCTTTCTCTCTCTCTCTCTCTCTCTCTCTCTCTCTTTCTCTCTCTCTCTCTGTATGTGTGTGTGTAGAACAGAGATCAGTTTCAGGTGTTGTTCCTCAGGAGCCATCTGCCTTGATTTTGAGATGGAGCCATCTCTCTCCCATCTAATAGGAATTTGGGTCCTCAATGAGGCTGGCTCGCCAGCAAGCCCATGGGGCTTCCATCTCCCCAGTACTGGATTATGAGCATGTGCCACACCCAGTTTTGCACATGGATGCTGGGGATCAAATCCAGGTTTCTGTGCTTGCATGCAGGCGCTGTGCTGGCAGAGCTGTCTCCCAGCCCCAGTGCTTTCCTTCTACAATGGTGGTGATAAGAAGACTTATCACTTACCATCAGGGTACCCTGATGATTAGGCGACAGTCTGTAAACACCAGCTGGCAGACACAGTGTGCAGACACAGTGAGGACTCAGCAAACATCTAGGACATGGCTGGTGGATGGTAGACTTGGGTCTAGGCTATGCACTGCCCAGCTCCCAAGATGGACTTGGTAGGAAGGCCGCCCCTGCGGCCACACTTAGAGTGATGCTTCCCCAGAACTGCTCTGAGTGGCTTCCTTGTATTAACTTTTTAATCCTCACTCCCATCCATTTTACCCTTGCTTATGACCGAGACACAGATGCTAACATCCTTGCTCAAGTTTATCTGGCTGGCAGTGCTGATTGTAAGCCCTTTGTGCTATTACAGGATAAGTCAGTATAGCTGACCTCTTTTCTGTCTGTTACAAAAGTCAGGGGCAACCTCAAAGGTCTTGCTTTTGTTTCAATTGTTATATATAATACACTGGTTGTCTTTATATATTTTAATATTTCTTAGAATACATCTACATTTTCAGCCTTTGAGAATAATACATATAATTTTAGCTTTAAAGATTACATTCATTGTGTGTGTGTGTGTGTGTGTGTGTGTGTGTGTGTATGCTACAGTGAGTTCTGGGGGTTAAACTTAATGGAAAGTCATAATTTTACTTGATATTGAAAAGTGATTCCACTTCTACTTGAAAGAATTTAGCTGTATGTGATCAGGAGAAGATGGGAAGAGGAAGAAGTGGAAGGGGGAAGGGAAATAAGAATGAGCCCCTGGGTCACGGGGCTAGACCAGCAGGTGTGCCTGCCTGTCCATCTGCTCTGGTAAGGGGGTCCAAAGCTGCATTCATTGCTCAGATGGCTTCGTTCCTCGTGGTTTTCATTGTAAGGGCATATTGCCGCGTAAGACTTTAGTAAGTGCTTTGCATATGCTGGGACTCACAGGCCAGCTACATTAGTAAGTGGTCAGGAACTCAGAGCTGCGCTGGGACTGCTGACAGGCGTGGTGTCCCCACGAGACATGTTGTGGATACGTTTTTAAACAGATTGATCCTTTCCAGAGATGTCCTCTGCGTCCGATGGTGGTTGGTGATGGTGTGAAATGGTTCTGGGATTCACAGAGCACCTGCCTCACCCTACTCAAATCCCTGCCATAGGGTTCCATTTCCTGTTTGCTTGCTGCCTGCATCCCTCTCTTCACTTGGCCTGTGCACACGCTGCTCACTGAACTCCATGGCCATGACTCCTTCTCTCTGTTGGCACCAGAAACTCATGCCCATTTTGGCCCTCCCTGAACTTCCTGGTCTCCTTCCAGGCTGCAAGGGGAAGTCAGACACATGTATGTCACACGACATACGTGTGACACATGTATCTCAGAAAGATAACTAAAAAGTCCTGCATAATCCAGACTTAGTTTTTGTTTTCCTGAAACTTTATTCAGAGAATTTCAAGTGTTTTGTATCAGTGGGATAGGTCAAGTCTGGCTTTTTCTTTCCTTAACGTACCATCTTACATGGTAAGACTGTAAGGACTTAGAGTTGTGAGTAGATTGGGGAAGTGAGCGGTAAAAAGCACATGGTGAATACGGGGCTGATGACAGGGCTGTCTGTCTGTCTATGTCAGAGTTGTCAGTGTGTCTGTGGCAGGGCTGTCTGTCTGTCTGACTGTGGCAGGACTCTCTACCTGTGGCAGGGTTGTCTGTCTGTCTGTGTCAGGGCTATGTGTCTGTCTGTGTCAGGGCTGTCTGTCTGTGTCAGGGCTGTCTGTGAAGGTCTGTCTGTCTGTTTAGGCAGGGCTGTCTATCTCTGCCAGAGTTGTCAGTCTGTCTGTGACAGGACTGTCTGGCTGTGTCAAGGCTGTCTGTCTGTCTGACTGTGTCAGGGCTGTCTGTCTATGTCAGTGCTGTTCTTCTGTCTGTGACAGGGTTGTTTGTCTGTTTGTGGCAGGTCTGTCTGTCTGCTTCAAGGCTGTATGTCTGTGTCAAGCTGTCTGTCAGTCTGGCTGCCTGTCTGTGACAGGTCTGTCTGTCTATACTAGGGCTGTCTGTCTGTCTGTCGTAGGTCTGTCTGTCTGACTGTGGCAGGGGCTGTCTGTCTGTGTCTGGGCTGTCAACATGTCGTTTCTCTGACACGCTGTGATAGGTTAGGGCAGGTTTCTGGAGATGTGAGGAGATAGACATTTTATGTGTAAGTAGGATGCTCACCATTCTATGCCCCTCAAAGACAACTCACCCTGCCCTTTTCCTTTCTGAAAAGCCACAAAATATGTCTTTCTTTCTGCCTAATGTTCAAGTCAAGCTGTTTTCTACCATGGCCATGAAAAAGCTAAATTAAAGCTAAATGAGGATGGCAGTAGGAAACTATTTTTTTGAAGAGATGAAAACCTGGGCCCCATGATACCTGCAGAGTCCAATACTCCAACCAAGAACGTTGCATGGAGAGGAGGTAGACCCCCTGCTCAAAGGAAGCCCATAGGATGCTCAGTGTCCAAGTGGGTTCCATAATAAGAGGAACAGGGACTGTCTGATATGAACTCAGTGGCTCGCTCTTTGATCACCTCCCCCTGAGTTGGGGGTGGTGGTGGCAGGGAGCAGCCTTACCAGGCCACAGAAGAGGACATTGCAGCCAGTCCTGATGAGACTTGATAAGCTAGGGTCAGAGGGAAGGGAAGGAAGACCTCCTCTATCAGTGGACTTGGAGAGGGGCATGGGAGGAGATGAGGGAGGGTGGGATTGGGAGGGGATAGGGGACGGGGCTACAGCTGGGATACAAAGTGAATAGTTTGTAATAAATAAATTAATTAATCAAATTTAATTAAAAAAAGAGAGAGATCATTAAAAAGGCCTCTGAGTGTCCATGATAGGCAGTCACAGGAGGCTGATGTGTCTGCTGTTTGCTGAGGGCACGTTGTCTCATGAACTGCTCTGTGTGAGCTGTTGTTGAGATGGTTGCTGGAGCCTCTGTTAAGAAATGTTGTTTACCTTGGTGCTATGGGTTCTGAGGGAACACAGATCAGAAACAAGAATACTGATATGGGGGTACTGCTTAGCTGATAAAGTGTTTGTCACAAGAGCACGAGGACTGGAGTGTGAGCCCAGAACCTGCGTGAGAGCCAGACACAGGGATGTGCACCTTGGTTCCAGCTCCAGCACCCCTGGACTCACGCGCCAGCCTACCCAGTGAGCCCCAGGTCTTAGTGAGAGCTTGGAACAGTGCCTGGCACACACACACACACACACACACACACACACACACACACACACTCACACTCACACTTGACAGGAATGAACCTTTGTAAGCTGTGACATGATTGGTACCCATAACAGGGTCTGGCAAATGACTGTTGCTCCCTTGTGGAGTGAATGACTGACAAGTGAATGAGTTAAGACTCTCAGCTTCTCTCTTTTTCCTGCAGTTTCTCACATTCAAAGCTGGGACTAAGTGTGCAGGGCTCAGGACCTCAGGAGGGCTCGCAGCAAGCCTCTGCTCAGTGTGCCTCCTGCTGTCCCAGGTGTGCTGGGCTGGAATTTCAAGAAATGTGTCAGGAAAGGTTTTGTTGGCCAGATCAGTCTGATTGCCTGCGAAATTAAAAGCTTCTAAACCAGAAAAGGGCAATGCCTTTTCTTAGTCTTCCTAAGCTACAGCCCAGAGCAAAGAGATCCAGGCCTCATTTCCCAGCCTGGTGGGCAGATGCACACTCTATAAATCTGGGTCCATGAGTGTGAGGGTGTTACAATCATCTAGTCTGAGGAAGAGAAGGGTTTAGAGAGAAGAAAGTGACTTAAGCCACAACTGGCTATAGACTAAGATTTCTTTAAATAATATTTTTATTCATTCTTTGAGAATCTTATACAAGGCTCCTTGATCACAGTCACCTCCTACACTTCTTCCCCAACTCCAGCCTCCCACCTCCAAACTTTATGTCCTTTCCTCCTTAAAAAAAATAAATAAATAATCCAGTGACTCTAACTTGGGCCCAAATACTCCTGGGTGTGGGGCCATCCACTGGAGCATTCTCTACCTACTAGGAGCCACGCTCTTGAAGAAATCTGACTTCTGCTCCCCTAGAAGCCATCGGCTGCCCATTGCTCCCAGCCAAGGCTGGGGTTTGAGCCCCTCCCCAGTGCTGGGCTACTAACTGGTTGATCTTGTGCAGGCAGCTGCACTGCTGAGCTGTGCAGTACTCCTGTCATATGCAGAAGACAGTTTCTCTCTGTCCTCCCCAACCTCCGACTCACACAGGCTTTCCATCTCCCTGTTCCAAGATGGTTCCTGACTCTTGGGAAGAGAGGGCATGCTGTCCCACGTGGCTGTACAGTCCTCAGGTACTCATGCTTCACTCTGACCAGGTGTGAGTTTCTACACTAACTACGATTCCCTAAACAAAGAAATTTCTCTGATGAGGTCTAAGGGCTGCACTAATATAGATAGAAGTGTGAGGGCAGTTGATACTCTGCCCCTTTGGCAGAATAATAGTCATAGGTTAACTCCTGGGCCAAGCTCCCTGACCTTGGCTTCTTCGCCAGATTTACATGCTTGTGGCATGTAGCCCATGATTTTAATTACGTATTTGTGTGTGTGTGTGTGTGTGTGTGTGTGTGTGTGTGTGTGTGTGTG